CTTAGCTTGCCGCATGATGTGTATGCGGATATGCTGGAATGTCATCTGCTCCTTTCCTGTTGTGCTGCCCTCATGCGACAACAGGATCTGCAACCCTGTGAAAGCCTGGGAATGATGGCAAGAAACGACCTCTTTGTCTATGCCAAAGAAGAGCTGGAACCGGATTCCTATGCAGCCTTTGTTGAATACTCGATCCAGCTTTCGGAGCGAGTAGGAGCCAAGGTATCAGCCATCACACCGCCGTCTCTGTCTTTGCCCAGCCAACATCATAGCCAAGCGGAGGTTCTGGCATGGCAGTTTCTGACCAATGGTGGCGGGTCTGTTTGGGAGGCCGTGAGGCTGGTTGCAAGTATGCTGCGCTTTGAACAGCCCAGACAGCGGATGATGCAATCGGATGCACAGGCCTCGAGTTTTCATCTTGGCATTTGTGCTAGAGGGGCGCTGGTAGGTGTGTGTAAAGACACCCTCACACATCGCAATGTCTGTCGACTGCTGTGCTTCTATGTGCAGCACCTCTGCACGGAACATCGCTTCACCTCGATCAGCATCAATCGCAACTATCTTGCACCGGCGCATCGCGACCTGCAAAATGGCCCGGAGGACAATCTCATTGTCAGTCTGAGCCTGCACGATGACGGTGGCTTATGGGTTGAATCCCCGTCGGGAACAGTCTACCATGAGGTGGAGGGACGCATGATTCGGGGCGAGGTGGCGTCCTTGCAGTCTCATGCGCTACTCTTCTCAGCCAACAAGTGCTGGCATGCTGGACTGCCTTGGCAGACGTTTGATCGCTACACTCTGGTGGCCTACACAGTGCGCAATTGGGCACACTTGCGAGAGCCAGCCCGGAATCTTCTCACTGAGTTGGGTTTCATGTTGCCGAAAGTGCCAGTTACGCATACAGGCAGCGAGAACACCTCCCATACTGCCTCCTATGCTGCTTTCTGCCGACGCACACCCCTAGGCGACCCTAATTTCACCTTGTTGCCCTGAAGTGAAGCTAACTCTGATGAGTGGAGCGGTTGCTCTTCGGATACGTAGGGGTGCACGTGTCTCGGATGCCATCGCCAGTTGCAACACGCCCGTCAAAAGCACCGTTTTGCCTGCACCAGCCATGCCCTGCACGACAGCTGTTCTGTCCTGAAGCCAATAATGCACTTCTGAACCTAGTTGTATGCTCAGGTCTCATGGCGTCTTCATCTTCGATGAATAGGCCCACAGCGGCCCGAGAGCGCATTTGTCCC